TGAAGAATTATACGGAGCAACAACTGGCAGCGCGATTGACTCGATACACACACAGCACTTTCCACGTTCAGTTAAGGTGTTGTGGAATAATCTCCCCAGTCTTCGAAAAGTAAAAACTTTTCTAACCACAAAAAGGACGAACACTAAATTAACGTCGCGTCAGTGGAAATTGTTCTGCAAGCAGACCTTTCTACGCATCGTGTGACCAGAACAATAATCTGACAGCAAACTTTTACTTATTTGTGTTATTACATTTGATAATTAATCACACACATTATTTAATTGTCAACTGAAAATAGAGAATGGCATAAACAAACAAATTCAGTTCAGGAGATGGAGTAAAATGAAAGCACTTTTTATCAGAAGGCTTAAGCGCATCATTTATTTTCCCATTATATCAGCCGCAGAGACGCTTTTGTTTCCGAAAGAAATTCAATTTCAAGCACAAACTGTGAAAATGCAACATAAAAAAATCAAGTCGGGCATTTTCAAGAATTTGGGATCCTCGTGAGAACGCCGAATCGTGCGACGCAAAACAGTGCGACAACATGCAATCTCACTCTTACGCAAAGCTATAAAAACGAAAAGGTACATGATGTAAATTAAACATTTGATACGCCTGAGCAGAAATTCTACTTCTGAAACTCAGGTCACTTGAAAAGTGAAGCAAAGTACAGGGAGTGCAGTGTGTCCACGAGCACTTGTGGCGTCTGTGCGAGGTCCAGCAGGCCCCAGCTATCCTCAGATTCGAATGCAAGCCACAACCTTTCAATTACAAAGGCGGCACTTCGTATGCAGTGTGTAGCGGTGTGTGTGTGTGTGGGGGGGGGCTTTCAGGGGTGCCGCACATAACCAACAAGTCCCAACAAGTGCTCCTGATTGTCATTCCACAGATGAGCAACACTTAGTTCACTTACGTGCATCTTGACACGCGTTTGATTAATTCTACAGAATCGGGAATAATATGATGTGGTCTATAAAGTATAGGATTGAGTCGGCATGGTAGGCATAACCGTTCTGCAGTAAAATGTCTTTTTCTCCAATTCACGAATCCTCTGGGATTGGTTGTGTAATGATATGCAGATAAAAATCACACCGAGTTTCATGCCTGCTTCCTGTTTAGTTGCCAAAAAAAAAAAATAAAAAAAGTTTGGGGCAGGAAAAACTAACTGTACGCCTGGTTAGGCAAAAATCTTTCTTCCAACAAGTTCTTCCAACTAGAATTGCACTCAACAGAGTGGAGACCTCTGTCACGGTGATCTACGGGTATTTGTCAACAAGTATATAACAAATTGTGGCGCATCAAATTTGGGTCTGTTTGTCTAACCGCATCGCGGCAAGCAGCAGATTCTGTCATCAACCCGATGTGCCCTTCTTAGATCCAGACATAACGTGGCAATGAATGACCGTTAACGTAAAGCCATGCAAGCAAAATCCAAGGATCTGTATGCTTGAACATGCAACGCATCATTAAAACTCAAGTTAAAGGAACAAAAAAAAAAAAAACAGGAAATTAGTTCCAACTCATAAAAGTGAAAATGGCTGATCACCATTTTTGTTTGTCCATAGACTTGGCAAGTATGCATACATAAAGAATGATTTAAAGGTTGGCTTTCAACAGGAGGGATTTTTTTGAAGGCGTTTATATTGTCGCAAAACATGGACAGACCATCGATCAATCGCATCGGGCGATCCAAACAAAATCAGCCTTGATGTTCTACACAAGCAAGACTTACTCGGTGTTCGTGCGACATCAAGCAGTCACAGTGCCCATATGTGGTTTTGGCACGAGTGCTCACTTGTTTCATGCTCGGTTGGACTTGTGCGGCTGCCAGGAGCAACAGGCAGCCAGTGCTACTGAGCTGAACGACAAGAAACATAAATGCACGGCGCAGCACGGAACCGACCACACAGGACTGAGCTAATGTGCAATTCATATTCCCTTCGACTCAAAATAATTCAACAGCCATTGTAAACGACATTTACAGTGGTTAATGACAGACACATTTGGGGGCGAGGGGAGACGATGTTGACACCTGAGGCCAGTCGCTAAATCATCCAGAGCAGACTGAACATGTGAATAAGGTGTTGTGATGAAGACTCCTGCTATTTTCTTATTTAATGAGGCATTCTATTTGTTGGAAGTCACGGCGCGTACTTTCCCTCTTTTCAAAGAAGCGCACTCGCGATGTTTGTTTGTGGTCATCTGAGCGGCGTGTTGAGCTTGTCGGCTAACTGAGACGTGAAACAAAAATGAGATGTGTGAAGTGTTGGAAAGTTGCCAAGTTGCCATTTAAAAAAAAAAAAGAAAGAAAGAATAACTAAAACAGTCTGCATTTAAACTGCATGTAAATGAAATAATGTTTGTCTTATGCTTTCCCTGTGGCCCTGGTACCAAAAGACGAATACAAATTTGCTTCGTCATCATGTCACAGTTTAAACGTTAACATTTTTAAACAGGTATGCTTTAAAACTGTGGTTCCCGACCATGGGTACCAGGCCGCACAGACAGAGGGGGATTTTTTTGTTTTTGTATCAGAGCATAAACACCATCCCCATTACCACCTCGTAGTCCCAGACAACAACAAAAATGTGGAAAAGCTTTTTGCAAAGCCATTTCCGGAAGAGCAATTGATGAAAAGACAAAAAGAAAGTTGGTGAGCGGGGGCTGCCAAGAGGCCCACAGCAAAAGTGAAGGAGATACAGGAAGTTCTGGCAACTATTGGCTGTTCAGCACATATGACAACCATCTCCCATCTTGTTCTTATGTCTGGGCCGTAGGGTATGGTGGCAAGATGGAAGCGTTGTTTTAAAAGAGAAACATCCAAGTCTGGCTACATTTTGCAAAAACACACTTGCAATCTCCTAAACGAACGCGGGACAATGTGTTAGGGGCCGATGAAACTTTTTAGCCATGAAGCCAGACGTTTTACACACAGGCAACATCACGCTGTGGGGTTGTACACAACCTTCTGTAAGGACCAAAATTAAGATTTTCCTTTATTTGTATGAAGCCTGCATTAGAACAGCAGACACTTTAAAATAGTGGCAGGCGTGTGCTGACTCCCGTTGACTGTTTTTCTCCATTGGGTCAGCTCATTTCTTGAAACAGAATTGACTTTTTTCTTTTTTTAACTACAACATCATGAACGCAATGTTCATACACTCTCCACCTCCAAGCGGGGTCAATCGGTTGGAGGAAAGGAGAGTACGATGGTACTCGCTCCATTCCATGAACAGTCATCAAATCTTCCAAGGAAATCCTTTCTGGTGTTCATGGTGTTTTTTAGACTAATTTTGACAATTGAGCATATGATAACTTACACAAGGAAATCATGCAGATTTTGTGGGGGAGAGAGCAACCATTGGAGTGATCATCAGTTAAGTTCATATTAGCAAGGTCAATTTACAGTTGACCTTTTGTTTCTAGAAAAAGATTAAAGAGGAGATCATGGACAAAAACTAAATAAAACAATGATGTCAAAATGATGCCATAGCATCGTCTCAAAGCATATACAAATTCAGGTTGCTTTGAAGTTATTCTTGATTGGGATTAGGGCACAGGATGTGCTTTGGGGCAAAAATTCCATTTTAGTATTTACTTATTTAACTTGTATTTATCCAGGTAAGGCAAATTCATTTGCAATCCTGACCAGACCACAGACTACAAGAAAAAGTAAACTTCAGGTAAAAAAAACAACAACAAAAAAGTCACATTACAGAATTTCTCAGCATAATTTGCTCAGGAACTGGGTCATTGTTGGTGTAGTGGTACACTTGTCTGACTTTGGTGCTGACAGCTTGGGTTCAGTTCTCTTTTAGTGACGGAGTGAATGACTGTGTGAACGCGAACGGTCGTTCTCGTCATTTACCTTTCATTGACTGACGACCAGTCGGGATGTAGTCTTCTCTTCACCAAGTCAGCTCAGGTCCAGCTACCCGTGACCCTGAACAGGAGACGGATGTGTGGATGGTTAGCAATTAAAAATACAGTTGAGAAGGAATCCACGTAATTTATTGCAAATTAAATCAAGAAGAATATAGTTAATGTAGTCATTGTTCTAAGGAAGGAAAAATAACTAAGGAGGTTTTTTTTTTCTCCCCACCTCATTCGATTGTGCTGGTGAAGGAGCAGAGAGTACATTGTTACGGAGTCAGGTAGCTAACAGTTTCAAAAAATGCAAATGAAGGAGCTCAACAGTAATGCCTGATAGTAATATGCAGGCTTTGCATGGAGCTCATGCACATTTGCCTGCTCATCGGCCCTAGAAGTTTTTCCACTGCTGTGCACGGAACTCTCCCTAAATATACTTTTCCACGGCTCATGTTACCGGGTGTAACTGACTTATTTTTGCAATGCGTAGTTTTTTTTTTTTTCGTAAATAGGAGTATAGTACAAGTCCTTTTTTTGTCCCTTGAGGTATAAGCTACCCTCGTACTTTTTCAAAGGGTCTCAGGGGGAGCAGACTCTGAATAAGAAGTTTGAGAATGGCATACTTCATTGTGCCAAACATGGGCAGCTGCAGAAATGCTTGTTAAATTACCAAAGTCAAAGACAACAAAGTCTACAAAGGACTGGTGACACTATCTGACTAATTAGAGTCACATGGTTTCAGGGATTTTCCCAAAATAAATGCTCACAAATTCTTCCAATTTCTGCTTCACAATAAACCTCATGCAAACAAATCATTTTTAAACAACACACATTTTCAGGCTGTCAAGCACTTGCCAATCTATCAACTGTCAGTACAAACCCGAAACTAATTCCCAGAAGAGGCAAACAACAGATCAAAGGCGAACTGTGGGAAAAAAAAATGAATATTCTATCGTGGATTCGTTACACTTTCATGTCACACTGAATATAAAGTTAACTAAACACTAGTAACGCCACTTCTTATTGTGTTCAAACCAATTCGCTCAGAAAAACAAAGCTTGTACTACATGTTTGTGTGGGTATTTGGTCAAGTGTCAATAACAGGTAGAAAATCCAGGACACCCGAAAATGCAGAATAAAAGTTCCCCTCCCCTAATAGCAGCCATGGAGACAAGAACACGCTAACTGCCCTGCCCACTCGTGCCACTTTGGAATTACGCAAGAACGCTCAGAGGAGCGCATTTGATCCAAAGGATTGCTTTGTGGCTTTAGCGTGAGTTGCGCGCATCATCAACATTGAATTGAATAAGGACTGTCGTTAATTCCACGCAACTGGTCGTCGTGTTTGTGTGTGCCATTAGTAGTAGACAACAGCAAAGACTTTACTGCTTTCGTCCAGTGAGAGAATTCTGACTCACAATTTTTTAGGAGGTTTCTAGGATCCTCGCACACTTCTTCGGACGCTTCCACAGTCCCGCCGAGCACCGAAAAAAGTTCGCTCTTCGGACTTCTTGAGTGGCCCAAAATAACAGCAACCAAAAAAAAACCCCCACAGTCTCTTTGGGAAATGAGCCAAAGTAGCAGACAGTCATCTTGTAGCACATTATGGCCAGCCGGGGACAAACTAGCGACTGGCGAAGATGTGCCGGAAGAAAGTCGCTTTTTGGCCCAAAACTCCACAGGAGGTGAGACGAGTCGGCTGATGGAAGCTGACAATGAGAACATTTACGGAGCGTATGACAGGGGCAAACAGAGCTGTCGGGACGACCCCCGCTCCATTCCTGCCGGCGCCACCATATCGGAGACAGCCCGTGAACTCTGCAAAGCCGTGTCCGTGTCTCTGGGGCTCCCCGTCGACTCTGCCGACGCCGGTGACGCGGAGCACGCAGCCCCGCAGTGCGCCCCCAAGGACCACCTCCAGGCCACCGGCTGTTTATACCAAGCGGGAGCGACCATCCCCGTCCCCGTCACCAAGTACAGGCGCTCCTCGGTGCAAGAGGAGCGGAACGCGATGTTTCAAAGTCCCGAGACGACGCTGCCTCATCAGCACCTCACTCCGACCTCCTCTTTGGAGTTCACGCTCGGAAGCCCCCCTGACCTAACTTCTAAACAACTTGAGCACATGGCGACCGTTTTCACGCCATCCATGCCGCACGACCACGACTGCGCCGTGGAACCATCGTGCCGAGCCTACAAGCACATGGAGGTGTCTCCAGATTACCGACAAGAAGCCGGTGGATACCAGCTGGAGCAATACGGCGTCAGTGTCAAGTCAGAGGAGCCCAACGAAGCGTCTGAGGAGGAGCAGTGGGGCACCAATTACACCCACGGGGACAGATACAACGCTCAGCTTTGGGGGACGAGGCAGTTCGTGGCGACGGCGCATCCGAGTGGGGTGAATGCGGCGTTCATATGCGAGCCATACGAGAGGAACACCGGACGCACCGAGCAGTGGTACCCCCCGAGTGGGATGTTGATGCCGCCTTACGCCAACTACACCAAGCCCGAAGTTGGACAGTGGGTAGACGTCGCCTACAACGACTCAAGGTAAACATCTGAAATTGCACTTAAAAGTAGACTTTAAAGAAACAACAAAAAAGTGGTATCTACAATGAGCCTAAACACGACTAATGTGACCCATGTGACTTTAATTAATGAAACAATATCGGTCAAAGTTTGAATAAAAATGTCACCTCGGGCAAGTCACTCATTTGATTAAATTTAAATCACCGTTATTGACTGGCTTGGAGAATAACTTGCACTTATGTTGCTAGAATGAGTTGTGTGCCAAATAAGATTTTCTTCCTGGGATGACATTTGCTCAACTTTTTGATGTACAGTACACCCACAGCACAGCGCAAACGGGCATTAATTTAATATTGCATGACATGAAAAGCTCTTTGCCCCCTAAAAAACAATTTTTTTTTTTAAATTGTCAGATTAGTGACGAACTGACCCAGGATCGTGGCAGGGCTCAAGTATTAGCTGTGATCTCCCCTTGCACTTAACCAATCGCAATAAACTGTCTCTCAAACTTAAATAGAATGACATGCTTATTTTTAACCACTTTCTGCTCTGTGTACAAATATTAATTTTGACTGTTTCCCCCAAAACAGGTGCCTCAATTGAACTGAATTGTGCATTTTGGCAAAACTGCTTTATGACAGAACCTATTCCTCATTATCTAAGCATACTTTTTAAGTTAGTGTCAAGCTTTTGAACTTGCCCTAAGTGACAGTTATTTTTTTGGCTTGACATGAAAGTGCTGCATGTGGCGTGCATGTCTGGTTTGGGGGGGGGGCTCTGCGTTAGCATCTTGGCTCAGATCTTTCTCCGTGACAGGTTTTATTTTCTTCAGGGTCTCCATTTTACTCTCAGATTCCAAAAATGTGCATATTTGGATCGACGACTTTGTAAAATTGTGAGTGTTAATGGTTGTTTCTCTCTATGTGCCCTGTGATTGTGTACCGGGCTTGCTTACTCAAAACAAGCTGGGATAGGCTCGAGCTCGCAGCGCGAGGGGTAAAAAGTACATTAATATTTATGGCCACATTTCTAAACAAAACAATAACTCAAAATATATTAAACAGCACGGTGCATTTTTTTTCTCTTTCATAAATAAGAAATGTAAAATTCAGGTTTATACTACAGGAACTTGTTCAGCATACAGCAAGTGATAAATGATGTAATCTGTATCGCACATGAAATTACAGCATGTGGATCTAATCTTAATTGAAGTCCACTGTGTTTTTAACTGAATACCAGAAAAGACTAATGTAAATCTCGAGAATTATGAAGAACAAACACAAACTGTCAACAGAGCTTAGTGGACAGCAGACAGAGGCGACATCCCGTAGATGTCAGCCCTCATGCCTGTGAGCACTGTCTGGTAGTGGTGGCCCTGTTCTAACGCAGCGCAGTAGTTTGAGACCATCCAAATTATACCCAGAGCAAATTACTGAACCGCGTCCATGGCAGTGAAGTCTGCAGCGGCCAAATCAGAAGTGAGGCCCCATGAGGGGAAACAGGTTCAGCTACAACCACATTTTATTCATCTGTGTTGAGTAGAAATTTAACACGATGACATTAGGTCTGCTCTCACTCATCTTGTCCAGCTTTTGTTTGCGTTGATACTGAAAATTGTCACTGTGCAGGTGCCTGACTCCTGACGTGGATTTAAATTAATTTTTTTCCCCAAGATTTTTTTTTTTCCTTTTCACTTTTTTTTGTGTGTAACTGCTGTTGAGAATTTGTGCTCGGAGGTTTGACAGGTTGGTGACCGATTAGACATGACTGGTTCTGTTTTAGTGAAATGCTGTTCAGATGGGCAACATCATCAAAGCACTTCCACTTAGCAAAGACAATACAACAGGTGTATCCAAAAAGTGGCACTTTTGTTTGAAACTGTTACTATGTTGCAGTTTGGTGCCACAGTGCAAGTTGCTTCTATTTTGTCACTCCCTGTAGCTACATGAGAACCCAAAATAGTAGAAACAGCCTGATGCAGTGCAGCCCCGCATGCCGAAAACCCCCGACTGCACCCATGAACGTATTGTTGAATCAACACCTCACTTAAAGTGTCAGTCAACACTGAGAGGGTATACTGTCTCACCTTTCTCAAATTTGTTGGAAGTATATGGGCAATGTTGTTGACTGTTTTCATGGAATATGTTTTTAGTATTGGGTGTTGCATGCGTTTCAACTTGAGTACCATACATTAATTATTCCATTTTAAAAGGCAGCATCACGGCAAGTGGACTAATTTTAATAATTTATTAAAATTAATTACGATTAATAACTTAACCCAAGCCCTCATTTGTTCAAAATACCTCATGCATGACTCCCAGGAATGTCCTCTGACGATGAGAAACCCCACACCAGCTCTCCTTGATCCCAGTTTACTCATTTTCTTCGGTACAATAATCCAAAATGATTTGACACAAATATACTTTTTTTTAAATGATCAAGGATTTACATTCTCATTTCTCTAAATACTGTGTACAATGATGTCACTGTCTCATGCTGCAGCCCAACGAAATGGAAGGAATTGTAAATAAATAAATGCCTATTTTCATGTCCGTACATTAATCAAACTGCACTTCTCATCAACAGCAGGTCCAGTAAAACTATTACCGTTTCCCGGCATTTGGAGACTAAACGTGTCACGAGAAAGTACTTGTACGTGCTGATTCAGGCAATCGGAGCGTCGCGATCGTTTTGTCAGCAGATGATCGGAGGATGTGTTCTGTCCGTAGACGCATAGCGCGCTGTTCGCCTTTCTTTCATGCTGTACGTGATGTACGGTCAGCGGATTGGGATCTTGACGTGCCTTTGGTTGAATTACATTTTCACCTGTCAACTTCAAGACAAATTTGTGATTTTTATTCCTTTTCTTTTAATGTTATACACGTTTAAAGGTGGTTGTAAGAGTGTTTAACGGCACAGCTTGGCAGAGTTGAAGACCAAATTGCGAGGACGAGCAGGGCAAGAGTGCTCTCCAAAAAAGAATTTAATTTCAAAAGAATAAAAAGGCAAACAAGGTACTCTCAGCAATCAAAACTAAATTAACTACGTTTGCTTATGAGATTCAAAATAACCAAAACTCAGAATCTATTAACTACAAAAAGAAATAGGTCATGACTGTGGGAAATGGGAAAACAGGACTCACAAAAACAGGAGCTGAAGCAGCAAACCCAAACAACGAACCGTCAATGACTGAAAAAACCCAAAAGGGAACTAAAGGAATACCTGGGCAAGACACGAGTGGCTGAGGCAGCTGATAGGTAGAAATAAGGACTGACCACAACGGGTGGACACACAAAAACCTAACGAGAGAGACATGGGGAAAAAAAAAATAAAATCCAGCCAGAACCAAATCGACAAAAACATGACATTTAAAGATCTTCAACTGTTTTTCTTTTTTCTTTTTTTTTAAGTGCTGTAAAAGCCTAGGGTGCATTTCTGCAATCGCAGATTTCAATTGTGGTGGGGGTGTTCTGGGATGTAACACACCGCGCTGGAGGGATGAACCAACAACACAACAGTAGAAAGCATAGATGACCTCATTGGTGAGGTCATAGAGCTGAGTTTAAAGACATGGCGGTGAATGGGAGCCCTGCAGGAAACAGTTCAGGGCACCTTTCCTTTTCACCCTGTACAACTGATGTACACCTCTCCCCACTGTCACTTGTAGATGTTTTCGAAAAGGAGACTAGGCTACAAAACCGTAACACCGCTGTACCAAAAAAAAAAAAAAAAATGGCCAGAGCAGACTCTCATGGGAGGAGGCTCAGCACAAAGGAGGACCTCATGAGATCTACTTTTATGACTCCATCACAGCAGCCATCTTTCAGAGAGTGCTCTGCTGGGGAAGCAAGCTCTCACCTCCTGGCAATAGACACATTGGCAGGCTGATTAAGAAGGCCGGCTCTATTCTCAAGTGTCCCTCAAGTCAGTGCATGTGGTGGGCGGTTAGGGGAATGATAGTAAAATAAACTCTGATGGACAATGACCCTGACCCCCAATACAGGACATTATCAAAGCACTCCGACACTCCAAATGTGAGGCGACTGTATTTTTTGCGATCATATTAAAGCGACACCAACTACCCAGGAACCTCACTGTCAGTTGTCAACTTTGAAGCCTTCGTACTGCATCTGTGGTAAACTGTCCATCCAGGTCTTCACTCACAATTACAAACACAATCCCAGCCAAAATAAACAAAGTAGCAGCTTCCTGGTGCCACATGGCTTTAATTTCTGTTGACGTTGATGTTAAGTTGGTGTTTGTACTAATGTATTGTATTTTAAGATAAGCACAATTATCACAAATGGGTTGGAACGGTTTCCTGTATCATTTGCAATTACGTGCAGCTGCCTTTGTTAATGTATGCCCTCTTACGATCTGCCACAGTGATTTTAGCTGGCACTTTTAACCTGAATGGCGCTTCCACTATTTGCAGGCTTTACACCTTCACTCGTTCCCCATTTTATTCGCCGGAGTCAAACTGATGTCTTGTGTAAATGTCCCCCCGCCCCCGCTCACTCTGCCCTTGTCTTTTACTTTGAACCTTGTGTCCGAGTCGTCGTCATGTCTGGGTATTTTTCCCCATCTCTGTCTGCGCAAAGGCTGACGCTGGTCGCATCCTGCCACGCCTTTCCCCCCTCCACCACCCCCACCCATCCCGTCAGCTCCGTGGCTGCACAAATATTTCCCACACCGTCCCCAGTCGCAAAAGCACACAGCTAGGGGCTGTCGATTTATTACACGACGTGAACACCTATAACTCAACCGGTTATAACATCCTCAGTGCTTGCACATGCTTTGTATTACAGGTTTAAAGTCCAGCTTTACTTCTCTTAAATTTAAGATAGCTACGGTAGATAACTGTGTCCCAGACATTTATTTGAAGCAGAAAGCTACAGTATTTTGACTGGAGGCCTTAATTTCAACAAACGCTCTGGTAAAGACTGAATACCAAACGGTGCCCAAGTGAGATGAATTGTACCTCCAAGTGGAAACTAAATAATTTTAAAAAGGCATTTACAACTTTTTGATACGTATGATTATGCAGGCCAGTCAATGTACATTATAATAAATTTTGTGGGATTAACGTTTGTATATTTAAAAAAAAACTGCAAGCGTCATACACAGCATTGAGGTAAAAACAACAAATCAACATAATCCAGGCATGTAAAGTTAACTGTGTATTTAAAAAAAAAAAAAAAAAAAAAAACACCAAATAGAAATAGTCAAACAAAAAGTGAAGCAATAAAAGCCAACATCTCAAATTATGTTAAAAGCCATACAGAGACATGGCGGTATCCTAATAAATTGAAGAGTGGCAAGAGGATACAATGTAGTCATCAATGAACACGTTAGCTTGGAAAGAGTTCTGAATATGCAGTAGTTAGATCCATTTGATTATATTGGGTTACCCAGTGTTGTGATATTAATGAGTGTACATACGTTTTTTTTCTTCTGTGGCGGACCGAAGGTTTGAGACTGGCAGAGAGCATATGATCCCCATGGAGTTCTTCTACCCGCCACAGAGAGCTTGTCTGATCTGTTCGGACGAGGCATCCGGGTGCCATTATGGCGCACTCACCTGCGGCAGCTGCAAGGTTTTCTTCAAAAGAGCAGCAGAAGGTAAACAAGAGTTAGAAATGAGTCCCGGCGGGTTGAACACACATTCACACACACCTTTTACTTTAACTCAAATGACACATTCGATATTGCCCCTTGCTTTCATTGCTGACCTAAACGTGATATCTGCTCTCCTCTTTATCCGAAGGCAAGCAGAAATACTTGTGCGCGAGCAAGAATGACTGCACCATTGACAAACTGAGGAGAAAAAACTGTCCATCTTGTCGGCTGAAGAAGTGCTTTGAAGCTGGGATGACTCTTGGAGGTAGGGTAGACGAAAATACTATCTTAAAAAAAAAAAAAAAAAACTTTCAAAGAAAACTGCCAGATAGTGGTGGATTGGATCCTTCTAGTCCTCAGCGTTACACTGTACGTAAGTAAAACTGTTCTCTTCGTAAGAGGGCGACAGACCGGCTTTCACAATGATAAACAATATGCCGGATCCACAGCCCCGTGTGTGGGCCTTGAAAGATGCAGAAACTGGTTCAGTTTATCGTGAATACTACTTTTAACACACAAACAAATATATGGGTCATTTTTACATCGTTTTATCAATAACAAAAAGACATGGCCCACTTCATTTCCTTTTGAAAATCAATTAATTTGACTGGAGTATTTGATTTATTGGCAGTCATCGGCCAAAAGATGAAAATTGATTATCTATTTATATAAAAGACTGTTGATGCCAATTGTCTTTACCGTTAGATTTCCAAACATGTTTGTATACATGGCATTTTGCTACTACTGCAGAAATTTTATTTTATTTTTTTCTTTTTACAAATGGTCTCCGTTTGACACTGAGGCTTTCTATACTGTTACTGCCACTGGAGCGAGACTCGTTATGATGTTGCAATACACCAGAGGGGGTCAGTCTGGGAGCTGAAGTGTCAGGGTACATAATTTGCTCTGTCAGTCAGGATTGCCCTTACTTTCAAAGCCTAAAATTTGAAATCATCAATAACTTTTTGAAACTAGCACTTTCAAGTGTGGCCGTTTCACCACGAGGAGACAATTTACCCACATAAAAACCAAGGTGGCATCAAAGCAAAAAATGCTCAATAATTCATCCGTTTTACGAGTGTCGTAATTGTCGATCAAATGATAGGAAAATGACCCAAATGCAAATGATCATGTTATTTAATGTAAAAATGCTCATTAATTCTTAACTCTTCTATTAGTAATCACAAGCATGTTCTGAATTCAGTTGCCGTTTTAATGAATGGTAATAAGCTTCGGTGCACTGCCTGAACAAAACACATTACGGGTAAGGCGAAGTTGTAAAAGTACGAGTGCTTTGCCAAGAAAGACCGAGCACTTTAGTCTTTGCCCACGGCACATCCTCGACAACTCTTCAATTGCGGCATCATCACAATAGGGGATGTTATTGATAATCAAGCCCCCTGACTGAGCCGCCGTGCAATTTAGACCTATTTCATTCACTTCCCCTTACCGTCAGCTACATCTGCTTGTCATATTAGGCTGTAAGAATTGACAAGTAGTGGACTAATTTTGGCCTTGTGTTCAATTTCCACTCCCCTCCATTTCCTCATTCTGTTTACGGTGAAAATGGTACGCCAGGCACAAAGCTGACATGAGACATGCGAATTAAAGCAGCAGACATGCCGGTAATTTGGCCACTAGTCAGTGACTAACCCGCGGAGCAAAAATGCCTCCTAATGCAGTGATTGGTCATAAAAAGGCACACCTTTTCTAGTTGGGGCTGGAAAAAGGCTCCTTTTTTGCGCATGTTCTCATCATAAATGTGTCATTCACTTGCGGCATGTCACAGCACCATTTAGACACATTTTGTGGAGATTCAGAGGCCAAAATATAAGACATTTTCCCATTTTTATTATCCTCCTAAAAAGTATGTACGTGTTAGTCGTTACATTTATTTTTGTCATCTAAAATGTAACAAAAAAAAAATTAAGATGGGAAGATTTGGTTTCTCTATCTGAAAAACAGATTTTTTTTTTCCTTTTAATGCAAAAGTAACGGTTGTATTTTCCAGAAACAAAGAAAAAGGAAATTAGGAGATGCAATATTTTTTCATTTTGCACTAAAAGAAACAACTCTTCGGTAATGCATATTTTCTTTTGAACAAATAATTTGCACTTAACAGTGCGGCTCAATGAGAACAAAACAGAATAAATTTTGATGTGCAGCTGCGAAAGGATAACAGGATAAAGTGATTAATTTTTGACTGTGATCCAGATTTGGACTTGTTTCATCATTCTGGTGCAAATTAGCATTGTTCGGGCATGGTGAAGGTCAGCACTCTACTTGAGTGCCTGTTACTAGTTCATCGTGGAATAGTACATGTAGTACATGTAGTTGTTTCATTTTTAAGACACAATTTTATTTCTTTCAGTTCTGGAAAGTCTTTAAAGGGAGGAAAACGGCAGTTAATTTTATGAATTTTGTTCAGTTTGGCATCTGCTCAAGTATCATTTCAAAGGTTCCATTTTTGATGAAATGAATTCCTTATTATTCCTGGAATGTTAATTATTTCCTCAAATAAGACCGAAGCAGCTTTTTTTTTTTTTTTTTAATAGTGCAAGAGCAGGATGCAGCTCTTGCAAGCTGTCGTCATTCACCGACCGTCCCGCGGTGATATTTAGAGCTCTTCATCTGACGGATGAATAGGGGGAAAAAAAAAAAATTTAATGAAGGTGCACACAAGACAGCTCATCTCCTTGTATGGCTTCGAACCAAGTTCGAGCGAATTTATCTGTCAATGTATCAGCATGGCATAGGAGGCATCATGAGTCCTGCCACTAGCTTTTCAAATGTAAAAATTTGGCTATTCACATCACGAGCAAAGCTCGGAGCTGGTCACGGGCCCAATGCTTTTGTACACTACAAAATTTGAAAACAACCCGATTGAAGGCTTTATTGGCGCTTGAAACATTGCTGAATCCACTCATTGGATGTCTTGTGTTTATGTTGGCTTCAAGTTGAAGGGGGGGGGGGATTCGGGGGGGACACTAAGGTTAGTTCAACAGAACCTGTTTACATGTACAACGAAAGGATCAAGGCCACGCCTGACAATCCCCAGCGGTAACTTTTAATTAAGCATTTTTATTTGATGTTTGTCATGGGATCAAAATTTAGATAGCTTAGCCTCGCAAATGACACTCCTATATAATCTGCAATTTGCTCTCACCTCCACCTCGTTTGAGGCTAGCTTACGGTGTGTCTAAAATCGGCAATTCAATATTGAGCTAAGTGAGCCGCAAAGCGAAGTGGCAGTTTTAATAAGAGTCTCTCCACAGAAGCTGCGAGAGGCAACCGCGAGACAATTAACGTTCACCGTCAGTCAGCAAGGCAGGAAAATTCACCACCGAAATGATTTTGACCCGTATACGACTATTCAATGTCCTCAAACAGGAACTTCCATTCTGGCGGAATGCTTCGAGAACGCCACAAGGAAGGAAACGCAAACATACATTTTTGATGCGGCTGTTTTCCTCCCATTCTTTTAACGTCCACAATAAGCACGTAAAGCCAGAAAGCTTCGGTTATTTTTATTTTTTTTGTCTGTCGACAGTCTCTCATGAATATGATGCATCTTAAAAATACCTTGTGCGATTCTTCTCACTTTTGAGAGATACATCTTGAATTAATTTAAGAACTGCAGCAAAGTGTTTGAGCTTGTACTGTGATCATTTGCGAAAAGAAATAATTAAACACATGAGCAATCCCACCGTGAAAAAAAAAGTTTAAGTCTTTGGAATTTCCCGGATTTTTGCATAAATCGGTCAGAAAATGTGGTCTGATCACCAGCTAAGTCCCAACAATAGACAAACGCCGCACAATTATGTTTCCATGTTTGGACTCAACACAACACACATCATGTCACAGCAACAGTGCATGGTGAAAACAGAATTTGAACCTTTGGATTTAATAACTGGTTAGGCTTCCTTTGGTGGCAAGAACCGCAACCGAGCATTTTGTGTACTTGCAGATCAGAACTGCACATTGGTCAGGAGGAATTTTGGACCATTTCATTTTACACGACTGTTTCAGTTCATCAATATTTATGCGGGTTCATGCCACCAGTGAGTTAAGGTCAGGACTGGACCACACCGGAAAGCGCATATTCTGTTGGCGCCATACCCTTGGTGATTTACGTCCAGGCCCTGAAGCAGTAAAGCGGTCCGTTAGCATCACCGCTCCAGGATTTAAGAGTGCTAACTTTACTATCAGACCTAGTCAGCATTTTACCTTGGACTGATGAACCGCAAGCCTCTTGAAGATACGTTTGTGGCCCCATCACACTGACAAGTTAACGTTTTGTATGGTATTTTGAGAACTCTTTTGTACAAGGCATGATTCTCATCGGGCAGCGCTTCTGGAGAATATAAAATGTTCTAATACTAATCATCTGAAATAATATCGCTGTTCATCAAACAGTAACATAACCAAACTACAGCCCTATTTCAAATAAATTACTGGTACCCTCTGTTGTTAAGGGGAAAAAAAATCCACTATTTTAAGAGACCATTCTTTGAGGAGAACCCTTTGCTCTTTGTTTGGTATGACCAAGGGACTTTCTTGAACAGCCATAAACCTTAAAAGTTAAGAGCAACAAAAACATTAGTGGATTCTACTTCACCAAAGCACGTGTCACTTGGTCTATCAGTGTAGATTGTCAGATACAACATCTGTCACAGGTCGGCGAGTGCACCTTTTTCCTCCTCGCCCTTTCTCAATTTCCCCAATGCACTTTTTCCATTCCACATCTCTCAATTTCACTGTGCCTTTTAGTGGAGGATGAATACCAAATGTAATGCAAATGGCCATGATTTACCGAGTTGTGTGCTTCAAACATGTCTTTCCAACCGTGCAATACCTTCTCGGTAGGAAAGAATTAAAAAAAAGAAGCCAGAGAGAGAGAGAGAGAGAGGAAAAAAAAAGCTATCCCTCATACAAGATGACTGCGGACCTTTCCACCAGATGAGACTCATCTGTTCAATATGACTCAAAAGTTTAAGAGATTAGAAGATTAGTCTTGGTATTGTTCGCTAAAATAGTTTCTTTTAATAGGGTTTAAAAAAATACACACACTGGATGCATTAAGCATGTTTAAATTGATTTCAAAAGTGGGATGACTTGAATTAACAGAACTGCAGTCATCACTCAAAGCTTTTTAGAATAATGGAATAGAAACAAAAATTATTGTCCAATTGGGATGAATCTTTTTTTTTTTAAATTTGAAAGGCTGTCTAATCCATCATTTCAAGCACTATCTCTTTATCCTGTATGTAAACCACAATTGAGCCAACATAAAACTGACACTGCATTTGTTTTTTTCCCCCCTTTGATAGCACGCAAACTGAAAAAAATTGGACAACCCAAAAATGCCACAGAGGATCGTCCTGTGAATAATAAAACAGAGATTATCCAAAATCTCACCCCTATGCCGATCCTGAATGCCAACTCCCAATTGGTCTTCCTGAACATCTTGGAGTCCATCGAGCCGGAGATGGTGAATGCCGGCTACGATTATGGCCAGCCTGACACAGCAGCCACTCTGCTCACCAGCCTCAACGAGCTTGGAGAAAGACAACTGGTCAAAGTGGTCAAATGGGCAAAAGGACTCCCAGGTAAGAAATTTGGTTTCAAGTCTTTTCAAATCGAGTTTTTGAAGATATTAGCAATGGTGTCAAATCCAGGACCAGATAGTCACAACACTGCCACAGTTGGGCTGGAGTCACAGGTGCTCCCGAGGAGCTCGTTTAGCCGCTGGTTGAGTGGAAGCACCTGTGGCTAAAGCCAAATGAGGCAAGGCTTTTTTTTTTTTTTTTTAACTTTGTGGACCTGCATATGACGCCTGTGAGTTGAAAATAATTCATATTTTTTTCTGGCTAGTCCGTGTTGGCATTAATCTCACTACAATTGTTAGAAATGAATGAAAGAAAGAATGCTCTGTGGTCCACAAGATAATATTTGGATGGAGAAATGCTTTTACATTTTTTGGGCATGAAAGCATGAACAGTTAAAAATTATCACGAAAAAAATAAAAAATTAAAACATTGTCTATTGGTTCTGACAGAATTTCAAAACCACATGGCAAAACAAAAACAATGAAAAAGTAGTGACCCTAAAATTGATCTATGGGGAATCCTACAGGGTATTTGAAGGAAATGCCGACACATTGAATTAATTTCTTTTTTCTAGATCATCCAAAATAAACATCCATCCATCCATTTTTTGATCCGCTTATCCTCACAACGGTCGCGGGGGGTGGTGCAGCCTATCCCAGCCGTCTTCGGGCAGTAGGCTTGGGACCACCCTGAACCGGTTGCCAGCCAATCGCAGGGCACACACACAGACGAACAACCATCCACGCACACACTCACACCGAGGGACAATTTAGAGTGTTCAATCAGCTTGCCATGCATGTGTTTGGAATGTGGGAGGAAACCGGAGTACCCGGAGAAAACCCACGCAGGCCCGGGGAGAACATGCAAACTCCACACAGGGAGGCCGGAGCTGGAATCGAACCCGGTACCTCTGCACTGTGAGGTCGACGCGCTAACCACTGGACCACCGGGCCTCCCCAAGATAAACAATGTTTTTGAATTTTAACTTTTAAACATGTTCAGGCAGTTTAAAATTGCTGATGTTATCACCGTAGGTTTTAGGACTCTACATGTGGATGACCAAATGACTGTCATCCAGAATTCGTGGATGACTGTGATGGTGTTTGCCTTGGGGTGGCGGTCTTACAAGAACGCCAACGCGAGGATGCTGTACTTTGCGCCTGATCTCGTCTTCAATGAGTAAAGTATCAAATTCAATTGACGCATTATCACACCAGTTTCTTGCTGGCTCATGTCTTTTCCACTCACTTGTTCAAAACGCCCTGCTTTTGTAGAATCACCCCCAGAAAATTAGATTTTTTTGGGAGGTGGGGGTGGGGGTTCCATTAACGACAAATAGTTGCATGCTTTTCAGCCTTGTCCCTTCATTACTATGGGATTAAAGTGAGGAACATTCGTTCTCATCATTCAAACTGATGGCTCTGCTGAGTGAAACAGATTCAGATGAGAATATTGGTTATCACAGACAGCAGGGCGACCCGTGTAAAGAAGTCTAATGCTTACAATAGGTAAGAACGTATTCATATCTAGAAGGTATTTTCTCACCTAAGTGTGATGAAAAATAGTGTATGCCCACTGATTAATCACATTGTTTATTTTAAAGCATTAATTGCATTGTTGTTAATTGTAGGTTATAATAATAATAATAATAATAATAATAATAATAATATAAATCGAGAGTGTGAAGGTGATATTATTTATAAGACTGTGGTGCAAAAGCACAAATTGTATTTCCATTAGTCTGCTATTTAACTTCCCCCTTTTCCAGTTTGCACTCCTCAAACGTGACACCACACACTGCAATTATGCAAAGCAGCAACAAAAAGTGTTTGACAAAGAGAGTGTATAGATGAGTTTGGGCTGGCAGCTTGCGCCAACATTCTAAAAAACAAAGCGCAAAAAGGTCCTGCTGAAATGATTAAAGATGTGTAATGAGGCACTTTTATTTTTGTTTAAAGACACTAATGCATTTCGGTCATTTTCTCTGCTTATTTTAACAGGTAAAAGGTTGTAGGTGTTTTTTTTTTGTTTTTTTTTAAGGGGAGGGAGGTTAGATATAGATAAACCATGCATAATTCAACCCTACAAAAAATAATAGATTTTTTTTAATCATGATCCCAGTTTTTAGCCGTCTGTATATTTAAAGAGTTGTGGCACTGTGTGAGTGTCTATTTTACAAATCCAAAAGCTTTCCATTCATTTGTTTTCATATACCGCCTGCCCTTTTCAAGGTTTGCGGGTGAGTTGTCTCCCAACTGATTTTTGGCGAGAAGTGTGGTACATCTGGTCACAGACTGCTCACCTCTCAACTGCAGGGCACAAAAGACACTATTCACATTCATACCTACCTACTTTAGTCTAATCAACCAAAATATTTTTGGGAAGTGGGAGGAAGCCAGAGTACCGGAAGAAAAAAAAATTGCACGCACCAAGATAACATGCAAACTGTACACTAGAAGGTCTGAACTGAGATTCAAACCCAGAGCCTCACACCTGGGAGATAGACATGCTAACCAGTAGTCCACGGTGCTGCCACATTTTTTTTCCTAACACAAAAGCCACATTTTCCACATCTCATTTGGAGATACTCATTGCAAACAAGTAACTTTTCTTTGGGAACCAATCCAGGGAGTAGCCTGCCTCTTGGCCAAAGGACGCGACGATAGGCTCCGGCGCAACCGGTAACCCTTAAGAGGGATAGAAAATTGGCTGGATATTGCGCATGAAAATGTGTCCTACAGGCGTTCAAATGATATTTCCAACAAAGTTCTTGTGACTACATTAGGCTCTACTTAAACAGTTGCAAGTTGTGAAAATTACATTTAAGAGTAAATTTAAGTCACCAAGTTCAGCATCAGGATAGAAGACCAATTACTCAGTTGTTCTTCAAGATGTGGTGGATTATCAGATCCAAATTGGAGAAGTGAATTACGGCTGGTGGTGACCGTGTAATTCAGAAACGGTGGGTAATTTGAGCTATTTGAAAGAAATGGGAGCGCTAAGTGTTAATGGACCAAAGTGCTCCCTGTCACTTGGCTGCTTACTGTCTCTTGCCAAGCCATGCCTCGACAAAAAAGCTGGCACAGTCCATTGTCACGAGACACCAAATTCAGCGGGGATTGAATAATTGTTGGGCTTTTTCATCGAAAGCGATGTGGAGGCGTAGCGCACCTTGAGCTCCCGATCGCGTCGAAGCTTCAGCCGATTCGTTGCGCGTCTTGCGCCGACTGCACTCTTCTAATTGTCGCGAAGAGATTGGGCTGCACATGAAAGACGAGCTGTCGCAGGTGGGAAGAGATCTGGAAAATGAGAATGAGTTGGAGCGGGGCAGCATTAGTGGAGTCTAATCAGTTTGGTAGCATTTCACTGTCACGTCTCTTTACAGTCACATCACGTTTCATGAAAAAGTACTGGAGTTTCTTCAAAATGGCCTTTGCTCCAATTCACACTGTTCCCCATTAATTATTAGAAAACAACCTCAAATAGGCGCTTCCTCCCCCCCCCCCCACAAAAAAATTTAATACCACGAAATGTCTGTAACTATGAACAGTTGTCACGGTTTAACACATTTGGCATCTGTGCAGCTGAAGCTTAAACACTGTATAACGTTAGCATGAGCAGTCAGGCGTGTCAATCTAAACACTCAGTCACTGCGCTGTCAACACTACATTTTGTTCGTGTAACACAGGGGCCCCCAACCTTTTTTGCCCCACGGACCGGTTTATGTCAGACAATATTTTCAGGGACCGGCATTTAAGGTGTGGCGGAAATAATACAACAAAATAATATGGTATGAGCTGCATGAAAACTGTGGCGTTTTCGAAATATAATCAAAAACACAAGGAGCGTCTAATCTGGCCGCAACACTCCGATCGCTATGGCAATGTTTAATGCCTTCAAAATACGATACAACGCAAATTCAAAGTGCATGAAAATGAC